TAGAAATGGGAAAAAAATGGCCTTTCAAAACTCTCATATATGCCAGGACAAGCCATTTATTAATACTTGATGCTGTGATTTGTCAAGAGTCATCCACGGTTCTTTTAAAGTGCCTTTTGCTGGGAGATGCACGTTCATTAGCTGTTGTGCTATCAGATGCTTTCCCCTGGGGACTAAACCACAATACAGTTTTGATTTCCCCTCTTAACTAGTTTACTGCTCTATGGTCTAATTTAGCCAAAGAAGCGAAAATATTTTGTTGCACTAGTGAAATGGCGAATTCCTTAAGAGAAATTATTGCTGGGAAACAACATCTATCTTGGCAGAGGGCCCTTGTGGATTCTGTTGTGTTGGGCTCTGTGAGGCTAAGGGCTGGGCCAAAGGGTAGGTTAAATACTGAAGAGGGAGTGTTTAGGGGGTTTTAGGCAGTTTATAAGCCTTGTGCTGGCCCTCTGTAGGGGGTGAGTTTCATTCTAATGCATGGGTTCTGCTGCATTTGGTCTGTAATGTACCATAAGAAACCTTTCCTTATGCCTGTAAGAGGATATGGTGCATGAGAGTTTAAACTCTTCAGTGCATACTGGCTGTTCCCTTCCTTTCACTTGAGTGGGAGGGGCCAGTGTGTTTCGCTATTGAAGGACTGTGTTCCAGTCTCACCTTTCCAGTTGTACACACGTGAGTCTCACAGTGATGGTTTGTATGTGGTCTGCAGCCCATAGATACATTTTACATTCTTTGCGTTGGATTGTCCACTTTTCAGGCAATGGTTTATCCTAGATTGTGCCCTGTTAGAATGCTGTGTACATTTGAATCATGACTGACAATAAACACTCTTAAGGGAGAGCCCAGAACAAAACCACCGTGTACCTGAACATCTGAATTCTGCAGCTTGGGCTCTTTGCCAGTAGTTAAAAATGTTCATCTGTTTAACATGGCTCCAAGAACACTTGACAAGGGACAATAGCTGTACTTTCCTGGGTGCATTGCAAGGTAGTCTGAGGCCAAGGAGCAGGGGCCATGTGGCTCATCTTGGAGAGTAATATACTTAATCCAAGAATCCTGGGGGGATTGCTGAAGAATCTTAACTTTACTTTTAGTAGGTTTAAATGAAACAAACGAACTGTCCCTTCTTGTGACAGAGACAGTGTAAACTGGTGCATTGTTACTTTAATGAGCTGGAAGAACAATCTGGTAAGTGATACACACTGGGGGAACGTAGATCCATATTTGGCAAAGGCTGAGCTTGAGTTAAATTGTACGACCCTGTTTTATGTGGTCCCCACATGTTGCTTGATTAACAATCTCCTGGAAACATTTCCCTCTTCTTTCTTCTCCTGGATTGTACTGTGCTTCCTTCTAGGCTGTAATTTCTAGCTTGTATTTGGCTTGCGCTGTTGAGTACAACTCACTGTTGGTACAGTGAACAGCACAGCCTATTAACCAATAATGAAACCCAAATAAATTATGATCCACTCGGTTTTTTTTCTCCCCTCCCTCCACTTCCACTTATCTACCAAGGCAATAACATCCTAAAAGAATATTAGCAAGGATGTGGCGTGTGATCCTCTGCTTGCCGAGTCCCTGTGGACTGTTCCTCACTTAATTATACATTTCTGAATGTATTGTAATCTTGTTCCCAATCGGTGCTTCCAATATCTCTCCCCCACACCTGGGGTCAGACTAGCAGCTTCTCTTTTGAAGTTGGCAAGATCCTCCCTTTCTTCATTGTTAATTATTGGAGCTTTCTAGTTTTCTGTGTAAAGCTGACCCTTATGGCTTTCCTCTGTCCTACTTCCTGCAGGATTTGAGTATACAATTCCCCTAGGCCTGGAGTCTTGTCAACTGTGAATAGTCTCAAGTGCTGCCTCACCTGCTCCAGGTCCATGGGGAAGAATCTCTCCAACATCTTGGCAGCTCATACCTGTCACTGCCCACACAGATTCCCAGTGCTGGTGTGAACAAGTCTGTTTAGACTGGAGAGTTTTTCTTGTATTTGCGGGGAGGGTCTTTGTGCTAGTGTATGAGAGTAAAAGTGTTCACATATTATGGGCCTTACCCAACTCCTATTGAAGCCAATGATAATCTTGTTTGTTGACTCTAATGGGAGCTAATCCTAGCGCTCTAAGGTCTGGTCCACATACAGAAGTTGGACTGGTTTAACTCTCTTATTTTGGTTGTTGCCACATGTGTGCACACACTCCTTCATTGATGGCTCTCTGGACTTTGAACTCAATGCAGTTCATAACTGCAGCACCTGTGAATCATCTAGAGTTAAACTAGTAATCCAGTGCAAGTAATCCTTCCACTGCTGTCTTACAGTGCACCAGTCACTGCAGAATTGACCTGTCTGCTCACCTTTCTGAGCTTCACCTCTTCAGGCTCTGGCTGGGGGCGCGGGCTCTGGGGTGGGGCTGGTGATGAGAGTTTGGGGTGTTAGGAGAGTGCTCTGGGCTGGGACAGAGGGGTTCGGAGGGCAGGAGGGGGATCAGGCCTGGGGCAGGGGGTTGGGTGCAGGCTCTGGGATGGGGCTGGGGATGAGGGGTTTGGGGTGCAGGAGCATCTGAGCGTGGCAAACCCCTGACCATGCTCCACAGTGGGAGCTCGAGGGCTAGCTTAAAATGGTTTGCGGGCTGTAGTTTTCCCACCCCTGATCTAGGCCCAGATCTACAGCAATAGCCAATGAGTACTCAGCACATCTGTGGAGGGAGAAAGCAGGCACTGCACTGCTGTCTGGAGACTCAACATGGATCCTGTTGAGTCCACTGGCTTTTCTGTAATTGGGCTCGTTAACGGGCCCTCTGCGGGATGGGGCTGTTACATTCAGTGTATCCCATATGAATGTTACCTTGCATATACCTTTGTAAACAACCTTGTCTAGATATGAAGCCGGTAAACAGCAGGCATGAAGGCTTCCTGCAGGTTGTACAGCTCAAACAGTTCAGCTTTTTATTTTTTATTTTTTTTATCGTGGTGATGGTGGGGAATTGTGTGGCTTTTGTGCTGCAGTGAGAGCTCTGGTGATGGAAATCCTCCATGCACAGAAGAGCCCTAGCATGGGCAGCGGCTAGGGTGACCAGACAGCAAGTGTGAAAAATTGTGACGGGGTGAGGGGTAATGTGCGCCTAGATAAGACCAAAGCCCCACATATCAGGACTGTCCCTATAAAATCGGGACATCTGGTCACCCTAGCAGTGGCACTAAAAGGTTCTTTCTACTGCATGGCCAGCGTGCGGGAACTTAGGCCCAACAGAACCACCACCTTCTCATAGCCCTGTCTATCCTTCGCCTTTCTGCTGAGGTGTCAACAAGAGGGCCAGTTGTGGTTTATCTGTTTATCATAACTCATTACCATTGGTGACCCCTCCCTCTTGTGTTTATTTAATCGGAAATTCCCCCTTTTATATATACTGCTCCTTCTGTAAGCCTTTTAGCTGTGGAGTTGGTTCCTTCCTCGCTGTTTGTGCAAGAGAGACTTTCTAGAGTGGCCAATAGCTAATTGTGAATTGAGTAAAACAAGGGTCCCTGAGTCCTGAGACATTCTTGCTTGATGCTGGCTGTAATCACACTGCTGCCTTTTAACTCATCACTCTTGCTCTGGCCCCTGTTGTGATGGAAGGGATAAGCAATGTTGCTCCTGAATGGTCTCACCCACATACACTAGACTGATGGACAGTGCATCTTCAGTAGTTGTCATGAGGGGATTTTTTCCCTTTACAGAGGAGGGGCATGCTTTATATACTTGGATGGGCCTGGATTGTAATTTTTTATAGCTTCTGCAGTTGTCAGGTCAACTGTTGGGCTTTGTTCCTTACCCTTCAAGGGAGCAGAGCTCGGGGAATAAGGTTTTCACAACTCCAGGTGGGACAAGAGGGGCCATGTGTGAGGGGGAGGAGAGAGATCAGTCTGACAAGGGAGGCCCCACACATGAGGGGAGTGTCTGTCTGATGAGGTAGGCCACCATGCACTCTCTGGTGGGGGGACGGGGAGGAGGGATGGATCGGTTTGACTAAGGAGGCTGTGCAGGGTCGGTCTGATGGGGGAGGTCCCACAGGTTCTGGTAGGTTGATGAAATGGGTGATTTATATTTTGGGAGGTGAGGTCTGAGTAGGAAAAACCTGTTTTTCCCCAGTGGGTATTTACTTACCTAGTGTATTACACAGCTTGTACAAGTGCAAGGAGAGAAGCCCTGCCTGGCCCTTCCCAATACATTTTTACAAATATCTAACTGGGGAGGAGGAGGTACTGGCAGTACATGGTCATGGCTCGGGTGTGTGCAGCATTATGCAGTGCGCTCAGCGCTCTCGGGGAGCAGCTTGCATGTCTGGGCTGGACACCTGGCTCTGCTCAGTTCTGCCAGGGCTGAGCTTCAGGATATATTTTTTTCTGCTTATGTCACTTTTCCCTCCTCCTTTGCAGATGATGAAGTGTGCTCTTGCACAAAACGATGCAGGGTGGCATGTAATTAGCAGAATTGGGAGGGAGTCACAGATCTATGAAACCCTGTGTCTGCCATATTTGAGATGAAGGATAGTCTTAGGTTAAGGTGCTGAACTAGGTCTTGAGGTCTGGGTTCAGCTGCTGGCTCTGCCACTGACTTCCTGTATGACCTTGGGCAAGTCACTTAACATCTCTGGGCCTTGGTTCCCCCTTCTTAAGAAGGGGGATAGTAATACTTCCTTTTTCCCACTCTGTCTGTCTTGGCTGTTTAGATTGTAAACTCTTGGGGCCAGTGATTCTCTCTTCTGTTTATATAGTGTTTAGCACAAGGGGCTCTGATCTTTGTTTGGCCTATAGATGATACCGTAATACCAATAATAAGGATACTCTGGCATGCATGTTCTACCATGGGGGTGGGGGGGACGGGGACTTCTTAAACACTAATCTTCTTAAAAACACCAGGAAATGTAATTCTTGTGTGACTTTTACATTCTTGCCTTGAAAGTTGTTCCGTTTTTTCCTGTACATATGTATTAACTCTCTCTCTTTCTCTTTCTCTGCAGACCTTTGTAGTACTAAACAGAGGGAAAACACTCTTCCGATTTAGTGCCACACCTGCCTTGTACATTTTAACTCCTTTTAATCTTCTTAGGAGAATAGCTATTAAGATTTTGATACATTCATATCCTTTTTTATTAATAATTGACTTCTGTGCTGCTGCTGTTTACTGCTTGAAAAAAATCAATGACTTCTCCTACTACTTACTACTCAAAACTTATTTATGTAGGACACGATCCAACACTCAGCGAGGTCAGTGAAGGGGATCCCAATGGATTGGGCTCCAAGTGTATACAGTAATAATTATTTTGTTTATGAATAAGTAATTATAGTTCCCATAGGTATAGCACATCCAGTAACATTTCATTTACAAAGATCCACACTACACTGTGTATATGCACATCCATTCTTCCAGTACCCAAGAACCAGTAAATATGGGAAAAGAAATAGTCTACAGCTATGCTTTACAAGAGGAGTAAAGGTTTATCTAGCTGGTGAAACCATTAAATAAATTATGAGCCGGAGGTGCAGCCAACTGTGCTTTACTTATAATTATGTTCCTATTCATCTTTAAGTCTATTGGTGTCTCTCAAACCTCCCTCTATGGGCAGGTTTATTCCATAATGATCCACTTTCTCTGAAGCATCCGATGCTTGTGTTGTAAGAGAGAAGATACTGGATGAGATGGCTCTATCTAGTCTGGCAATTCCTAGTTTTTTACTCTGTAAAATAGACCTTGTGGAGTCCCAGGTCTGTGGTATCTCAAAAGCTTCCATATCAAATTGGCTTGGCTTACAAATAAAATGTGTGTTTTCTAGCTGCTAGTGCTGGAAACTTGATCTGGGAGTTGAACTGGGTTCTTTCTAGGTTATGTCTTGTTGCTGGTAAACATGGCTCTCACAGATGGACTAAGGTGCAATTGCGGGATATGCATCTGACCATTTTGAAGCAAAGATTTTGCAGGTAGAACTGAAGCCTGATCCCAAGCTAATTGAAGCTGATGAAAACAGTTCCCAGTGGCTGTGGATCAGGTTCTTGGTTAGCAATTCTGTTGATGCCTGAGCCAAAATAACAGGTCTCAGAGTAACAGCCACGTTAGTCTGTATTCGCAAAAAGAAAAGGAGGACTTGTGGCACCTTAGAGACTAACCAATTTATTTGAGCATAAGCTTTTGTGAGCTACAGCGGATGCATCAGATGATGTGAGCTGTAGCTCACGAAAGCTTATGCTCAAATAAATTGGCTTGTCTCTAAGGTGCCACGAGTCCTCCTGTTCTCCTTTGAGCCAAAATAGAATCTATCTCTATCTGCTGCAGCTGCGTTGCTCCTGAATCACTCTTAACAGTAAAGAGTTATACATGCTTATTTTTGTCTTCAGACCCTGCATATATGGCCCTGAATACGAAAAAGGATCAGACTATTAGTAAGAAGGTGTCTGTTTACTTACACATTTACTTTTGATGGTAACTGCATTTTAAAATATACAAAATTCATTTATGTATAAATATAAAAGTATATTCACATTAAAATCCTGTGACCTTATAAATAATAAAACATATTTACTTAAGAAATTCTCAAATTTAAGTTTGTGTCTAAAATATTCTAATCTGTGTGTGTATCTCCATCCATCCATCCGCCCATCCATCCATCTATAGGACTGGCAGTTTGGAAGCATATAGAGAGAAAAGTTATGTTTCAGTTTGATGAAGCTGTAATCATAATTATAGCGATAAGCTGTGCTTCATCTTTCTTTCAGTTCCCTTGAATATAACACATGCATCCAGCACCAGGTAACCCTTCACTTTTAAGAAGAAATTATGTATGAAGGAATCTTTAGAAAATACAAGGCCTTGACATATTGATGTTGCAAATGGAATTCTTGTGGTTATTTTTAGATTCTGTCCAGTAGGCTGTAAATCCTAGAAGGGTCCTGGTAAAATTGTTACATGGTAGGATTCTCAAAAATGCATCAGCATTTGAAATCAAGGCATAACTCTGTCCCCTTTGAAGACACTGAGAGTTTTACTGTTGCCTTCGGTGGAAGCAGAATTAAGTTAATGTTGACCATTTCTGAAAATCCCACCCTGCATGTATGAGTTCATGTTACTTTGGCAATGGGTCATTTCAGTGGATGTTAAGAGTGAGTTGCAAGTTGTCTGAACCAGATTATACATGATGGAGTTTGAAAGGGGCGGTTTAAGAGCCACAGGGATTTTTTCCCCCATTTCTTGTAGAAGAAAAACAGTATGAAAACCATGTGCTGCCTATGACAAAAACACTTTTCATTTTTTGAGTAACACATTTGAGACTTGTTCGCTTTATGCTCATACAATTGATTGCCCCTGCAAAGGTGAGCAATCCTATCAGAGGACTCATGTCAACGGATTGGACGGTTGGTCACTTGATGACAGCAGCTGGTGCAAGGTGGGCATACCTTCCTCCTTTAGCTGAATGCACAAAATCAGGAGAAAAAATGAAAATTTGGCTCCTAAGATGCTAGACTCTATCTGTCCAGTAGGATTCACTTTGCAGTTATGCATATCATATCAAATGCACCCCATGTTTCATGCAGTTGGAAAAACCCCCAAACTGAAATCCTAGCCAGATTTCTGACTAACAAGTGATGTAATACGATGCTGCTCACGCATTTAATTTACCAGCAGATTGTGTTGCTATTCCTGAATGTAGATGGAATTGTCTGGGGGGAAGTTTCACTTAAAGGATGAATGTAAATTGTTGTGAAGTACGACATGGGGACTCTGTTTTATTTACAGGAGCAGGTGGATGAGTTTCTCTGGCCTGCAATGTGCAGGAGGTTCAACTAGATGATCATGATGGTCTCTGCTGACCTTAGTCTGAGTCTATTCAATGTACATTACAATTTTACAGCCTTCATAATTAGTTCTAAGCTGTAAAATGTCTGTTAAAGAGATGAGGCAGTATTTTTGTTTGGTTGCAGAACATGAAGCACATGTGCACCTTCCTCTGGTCAGTGCCTGGAGGCAGGACAGATCTATGTTAACTTGCCATAAATATTAACTAAGGTGAAAACTCTGCGCTCCCTGTGCGTGTGCGCACTGCCCTTGGGAGAGCAACATCTCTGTTCACTCTTGCTCTGTCCCTCATGCAGTCATCTGCACAGGGATAAAGTGTATATAAACTGCCACCAATCAGAATGCAATGGAGAATCAGCCCCATCGTGTCCAAGAGATCAGAGAATTGTGGGGAAACCAATGAGATAGTTAAATGGAAAAAAATTATATGAAAAAATGTCTCTTTTCTCCATCTCCTGTGACTGCTGGATGTTGTCTTGGCTCTTGTCCTATCTAGCTGATAGTGAATAGATCACTGGCTGGAAATTATTCTCATTAGAATTGTCTCTATATTGCAGTGAATTTACAAAGATGTTTTCATACTGAAGTAAATAGCCAATTTAGCGTGTCCCTTTCTTCCTTGACTTCACCCTACATTATTTAGCATGATCATTATGTGCACTATTTTGACCAACTGTGTATTCATGACTTTTAGTAACCCACCTGAATGGTCGAAGAATGTGGAGTAAGTAGCATTTTTTTTGTATCTTTCTCTTGTTAAATACTTAAGAAGTTTTTTTCCTCAAATTCTTGCAGAATTTTGTTTCATTTATTCAATAAGCCTACTCTTGCTCCCGTTTAAGTCAGTGGGGGTAGGATAGGGGTTTTATAACCTCTTGATTTCTTAAGGCTAATATATTTGAAAAGATTTTTTCATGACTGAAATTATATTTTTACCACATTGTTCTTAGCAGAGTTCTATTTTCGACTTCCCTTTTAACAGGTACACATTCACTGGTATTTATACATTTGAATCACTTGTGAAAATTATTGCAAGAGGTTTCTGCATAGATGGTTTTACTTTCCTTCGTGATCCATGGAACTGGCTAGATTTCAGTGTCATCATGATGGCGTAAGTTGCATTTTCAGGTTATTCCTGTTACCGACTCTATGTGTGTACATGAAATGTGGGAGGGGGTTGAATCTTCTTGTGAGACAGGTGCACAGGAAAAAATAAAAGTCAAGGAAATCTTTAAAGTGGACACCAAAAAGATCAAAGTCTAGATTCTGGCTCTTATTTTCAGTGCCGTCCTGAGATAAAGACCGAGCTAAATGTAACTCCGCTAAAAGTAGCGGAGCGGCATCTGCTTACAGTGGCCTTGACTTGGACATGTTTTGGGCAAATCACAGCTTCCTGAATATGCACCTATGGCAGCAGTGCCCAAACTTTTCTTGCTGCGCCCCTGCCCTTACCAGGAATGGAATCTGTTTGCGCCTGTGCTCCACTGCTGCACAGCCAAGGCTTCCTCAGCAGAGGAGCTTGGGCTGAAGGCAGAGCTGGGGGCAGAACTGGGGATGGGGGAGGAGCTGGGGCTAGAAGTGGAGCTGGACTGAGGGAGGAGAGGGAATGAGGGCAGAGGAGGGGCGGGGTGGAGCTGCGGCTAGGGGCAGAGCAAGGCTGAGTGATGCTCCCTCCCCACCTCCCTCCCCTGGCCCAGGCCCCGCTGTGTGCCCACTCAAAGTTTCTCTGCACCCCCCATGGTACCCCCTATGGTGAGGTAGGGTTTTGTAATTAGTGTCCAGCATACTAGCTTTGCCCCTGTGCCAGAGAGTTGGCATGTTCTGGTGAGCTGAGCTAGGGGATGGGAACTAGGAATTTTTAAATCCTGGCTCCACCACTGATTCCCTCCACGGTTTTGGTTTGCATGTTAGGATTTCTTGGGCTGCATTTTGGATACTTGTGGGTTAACGGGTAGATATTAACCTTTTGCAGCTAAAGATTCAGAATCCCAAAAAAGAAGTCCACCTTACAGTATTTTATTTTGTCTAGCTCATTCTTTTCCCCTTTTGCTGAATCCACTTATCTTCCAAGTCTAATAAGCAGTGAAGTGCCCAGGTGTCTTACAACATGTAGACTACTAAATTCATTTTCCTAATTAGAGATGAATTCTAAACGTTTGGCACCCTGTATCTTATAAAAATGTGTTTTACCTCTTGGCCTGTTCTAACGTACTCTTACAACCCCCGCTATCATCAATGGAAATATGTCATTGACAATCTGACCAACACCTGGGAGAGGAATAATTGTTTCCCTTCCACATTTGCTTTGACACATTTGACACCTGTCCATGTTCTGGGCTCCCAGGTCCAACACTGGCTACTGAAATCAGAGAGATGATTGACTGAAGGCGTGGGGGTCTGATTTTCAAGGGTCCAGGGGACTTGCATTTCGCTGGAGTTGTGCGTGTTCCGCTTTTCTGAAATATCAGGCCCCAGTGCAGAGGCTTAGGGCATTGGGTTTTTTGGGAGCCAGCCCTTTCACTAGTTGTCCTTTCTGTATATTGTTTACTAAAAGATGCATTGTTCAAGAAATGCAAATGAGGCCTTAAATTCAACTAGTCAACACCTGAGATTTTCATAGGCGCCTAAAGGAGTTTGATGCAATTTATTGTGAATTGGGAACCTAACTCCTCTAGGCTCCTTTTGAAAATCCCATCCAATATCATTTGTTGTGCAGCTGGATGGTAAGTTAACAAGCAATGCAATATCAACATTGAAAAGACTGTCAGGCTCTCAAAAGCATCAGTACCAAGCATTGTGGGCTCATGTTATAGCCATACAATCACCTTACCATCAGTGGGGTTGTACTGCTGTCATATCAGGAGGATTTGTCCCAAATTCACCAAGGCCTGGGGATCATTTAAATCCCACTCACGAGGCTTAGGTGATATCTAGCTAGTTCTTCTGCACACTGGTGAATTTGACCTGTAGTGCCTGGAAAGCTACGAAATGTCAGATTTCCCAAAACAGCAGAATTATTTTGAGAGGCAGTTTGTTTAGTGGTTACAATAGGGGGGTCTGGGAGCCAGGACTCTTGGGTTCTATTCCTGGGTTTGATACTGATTCACATGAATCTGTTCGTGGCTTTGATACTGATTCATTTAACCTCTCTGTGCCCCAAGTCTGGCCATCTGTAAAATGGTGATAATACTTAACTGTGCCTCACAGAGAGGTGGCAAAGACAGACATTACTGAACTAATGTCTGTGTGGCACTTAGGTGCTGCATAACTGCAAATGTTGATGACGATTAAAAACAGGAAGGAAAGTGAAGTAGCTCTGATTGACAGCATACCCCATTGAACTGAGGAAACAGTCTCTCCGAACATACCTGGTTTCTTTTGCCAAGTAATTTTTTTAAATTGCTTTGCACGGGTCCATACAGTATTAAAACATTAGACTCCAAATTTGGGAAAGCTCAAAGAGCAAAACATGCTGTTGTTGAGACCTTTTTAAACTGGTTTTGGCTTTGTATCCTTCTCTGTCTCTCTCAATGCCAGTTCTAAAGCATTTTAAATTACAGTCTGTTTCCTACAAACAATTATATTAAAAGGAAGGTGACCCCAATGGTGCCATTAACTCTGGTTTAATTCTGCAGGTATATAACAGAGTTTGTAAACCTAGGCAATGTTTCAGCTCTGCGCACTTTCAGGGTTCTGAGAGCTTTGAAAACTATTTCTGTAATTCCAGGTAAGGCGCCCTCCGGTTGGTGTTAGCTGTTGGGTACAGGCCTCTGTGAGTGATGTATTGCTTTGTCTGTAGTTGTTTTATTGGTGTGTGTTTTGTCATTGTGTTTTTTGTGTATGACCTCCCTCATTACAGATATGTCACAGAGTTTGTGGACCTTGGGAATGTCTCAGCATTGAGAACTTTCAGAGTTCTCCGAGCTTTGAAAACTATCTCTGTTATTCCAGGTGAGGAGTCTTTTAAGCATTAATGCTTATCTTGTGTATGTCTCCCTCTTTCTCTTTCCTCCCCCCCTTCTCTCACCACTTACCTTTCAAAAATGGCACTGGGACATTTTTGATGGGCTTTGCAGTCTGTATGAATCAACAGTGATTTTAAAAAAATAATGTAAGACAGTTGGATGAATACTGATAATTGTATACCATCCTCTTAAGTGCATGTCTATCAATATCTAGCCTCTGTGTGAAAACCCTGAAGTATAATTCAAAACAAATAAAGGGCCAGCTACTGCCATTCTTACTCAGGCTGAGTAGTGCCTTGCTCCAGGAGTCATCCAGTTCACTTCAGGAACTTTCGTAGTTACACTAATGGGGATTTTTTTTTAATAAAGAACCAGTCATTCTGGGAGGGTTATGAACCCTACTGTGTCAGGGCATACAGTACTTTAACTTTTATCCAATCGTAAAAATGAGGCCTATTGGATCACCTAGCCCATCCACTACGCCCTGCAGCCAGTGCAGAGAAGCCTACTTTATATGTCTAGTATATTGTCCAGTCTGGTTTTTAAAGTGCCAAGTAATGGAACTTCCTTCACTGTGGCTTTCTGGCTTAGTGGACGAAGCATGTGACGAGGCGCCGGAAGTTCTTGCGTTTTGCTCACCATGCTGCTCATATGCGTGGCCTCTATTTTTGAGTGCATGAATTTGTGGACACCCAACTTTAGACACCTAAGTAGAGCCTGGTTTTCAGGGGTGCCGAGCAACTTTATCTTCCAGGGACTTCATGTTAGAGTTTTGAGTGTTCAGCACATCTGAAGTTGGGCACCCAAAATCAGAAGCCACTGGGGAGAGTTTTGGTCTTAACCTCCTTTGTTTTGTCTTCTGATCTGGAAAATGGGAGTGAGATTTGCTCACTTGCCTCCCAGATATTAGGTTTAGCAAGTTGATAGTTTGTATAGTGCTTTGGGGATGGAAAGTGCGGAGTGTTTTTATGTTGTTTTTTTCTGACAATGTACTGAGGGAATATTTTTGAAGGCTTTAAGTGCACTGAAAATACAGATTGCCTTGGAACATGAGTTGGTCTATTCCAGGGTTCAGGGGAGAAGTGATGTAAAATTGTTACATCAGGTTGTGTATTTTTAGTGATGTCAAGCCCAGCCTACCTCTTTCTCCATCTCTCCAAAATGTAGCTCTGCTCTGGAATGAGCAATAGCCCCATCTTTACTTGTTAAGTAAACGATGTCCAGCAACATCCTGCTATTTTCTCAGTGTACTATTGCATGTATGTTTGCAAAAAAACAAACTATAGTGTTCTAGGAGGCAGATGCCTTTTCCCTCCCTCCAGACTGCCAAGCCTACCATATTTATAAACCCTACCTGCTGCATGATGCTTTTAAATACTACCTGCTTTTCTTGCACTGAATGATAGAGAATTGCTCCTTAATTAGAATGCTCTTACTTAGCCTTGTCGGATGGTTGGCTGCACAGCTTAAGATACACACATAAGGAGGAAGAACTGTCTGATTATCGTTGATGATGATGCACTGCTTGGAGAGCAGTTGTGATGCTGTCAGTGCACTGCAGTTCTTACACTGCCTTGGTAAAAGAAGAAGTATGCTGAAACTGCTTTAGGATGTGCTTCACATTCATCAGTATAGCAGAGTGAAATAGTGTAATCAACTGCCTAGTTAGTGTGTAAACTTGCCATTGACCTCGCATAAAAAGATGTGGAACTGTTCAGCTGCATAGCCTAGGCCCCATGCTCCTAACTGCTAACAGAGATTCCTCTCTAGCTCAAGTGTGCTTTTGGAGCAGGGAGGATCTAAGTTCCAACCCACCCCGCATTGTTAAGTTCAGCATAGCCAGTTTGCAGCAAAGTGAGGGTAGCTGTTACAGTATTGAATGCGAAGGCTAGAATTGGAAATGGGCGGAGCTTTGGTCACTGACTTAAATTAGAGCCTAAATCAGAATCTCCCCTGATTGTGCAGCGCTGGGGCCCAGTAGAGGCTATGCAAAATCACCCCCTGCTTTCTGGTCCCATCACTAGCAAGAATTGGGATAATTAACCTACTGGTTGGTTGTCTTCAGGGTAAGCTTGGAAGCTCTAGTTGTGGGGCAGAGAGCTAGTGTATTACTTGGTGGCTTACTGTACACACAGGGTAGAAGTGTACTTTTCTCAAGGTAATGTATTTGAATATGTTAAAATCTAAATGTTTTCTCTTGTTTCTTCAGTGCATGCAGTGGGATGGGAATTCCAGTGTCACAATGACCTTGAGAGAACCATTTTATCATTATGACAGATGTTAAATAAACCTTTTGTAAATAATTAGAATTGGCCTCTTCAGAAGAGCAGTGGGTGTTTAGATGAAAAGTATGCAGGACTGGAGACATGCTGCTGGATAAAGTTGCAGGTGAGGTGCAGGGTTTGCAATGCTTAGTGGATCACTAATAGGATATAGAGACACTCACCTCTACTTCACCAGCTCAATTCTAGTCTATGCTAGCAGTAATTCCCAAATATGACCATCATAAGATGGCTTGGTGACCTGTGCTAAATGAGTATGTTGGTCTTAGTGCAGTTCCTGCTGGGGAAGAGTGCGCATCACACATGCAATTACACAGCAACTGCCAAGTGGCCCCAGGCGCTGGAAACCTCAGCAAAGAGGCCAAATACCAAATAGTGCCAGGGGAGTGAGCTTAATCCTTCACATTTAGAGGTGATTCCTCCAGACATGCAGGCTAGAGGGCTTACATGGTGTGCATATATTGTCCTGCGACTAGAGAAGGGACTCTTCTGCAGGGCTGTCAATCTGCCACCTTTCACTGACATGCGGGTGCATATGCGCACACAAACGGAGGGACAGATGGCAGTGCAAACTGCATCTCTCAAATTCTGAAAGAGGAAAGTAGTGGTGCTGCAAGCTGTCTCCTGGGGCCTGTCTATGCTGGGGAAATTTAAAAACCAATTTTAAAACAGTGTGAGCCATAGTGCAGAGCTGACTTAAGGAAGGCAGGTCCCTGTTTTAATGAAATGGAGTAGTCCTGAAAGCAGCTCAGTAAAAATGGGTCAGGTCACCTAAAACCAGATCTACAATACTATTCTAACCAGTTTGAAAATATCCTTAGTATCAGTAGACCGATAGTGTGTTTCATCAGTGGTTCTGCTTTAGGCGGGGAAGGCAGACAGCTGAACATCTTACAGGCAACTTTTAATAGTTGGTGAATTAAGCACAGAACTCGCTCTGCATCCTGTTGTATAGAGCCAGGGTCACATTATCTGACTTGACAAATTGTGTGAAGAAACACATGTTGAGTCCATCGCAAATGGAAACTAAGCCCGCATCACCCTGAAAACTTAGTTTCCAAGACAATTGCAACCCATTGATATCTGAACCGGGATATTCCTTTTAGCTATGAATTGGTAAAGCAAAGTAACAGTGAGGAATCAGAATGATATTCCGTGCCCCCAAGTGAACAAATCTTTCAGTGATACAATTATTAATGTTTTTAAGAGCCTAATTTTCCATGGTGTCTCATGCTGTTCTTTACACCAGTGCACAGCAGGGATAATGATTGCACACTGTCAGAGCAATAGAGAATGGGACCCTAGAGGCACTGAAGATTAGCAAACAACAACTTAGAGGGCTGAAGGGAACAGGGTGTAAACATTTCCAGTTGTGTCTGGAAAAATGAATAGCAATAAAGCTACTTGGAAATTGACAAGAACTTTGGCATTGATTAAAAGCTCTGAGTTTAAAAAAAAAACATTTTATTCCTACCTGGAACTTCCTTTATTTGTTTTATTTTACAGTTTCATGTGCCTGCTACCCTAAGGCCCCTTTACATCAGCCTGGCAATGTAAGGGGTGCTTCGAGTGGGTAAGACGCTTTTATACTGATGGAACGGTGTAAAGAGGCCTTAGAATACATGAGAATCAGGCACAGGTTCCCAAAAGATCACTGGCTCCTCTCTTTTGCATTTTTCGTCTGATATTTATATTCAAGCCTAGATTTTTGTTTAGTTACTCAAAGTGCTTAATTCAGATAGATAACTGGTGTGTACTAAATAACACAGCCTTGATAATGAAATGCCTTCATTTTCGCATTTCTCTACAGATGAAGTGCCACTGAGTCAGACTGTTCTTTAGTTGCATGGTCCATTCAAGGTCTAAGCCATGGCATGAACCATGGAAAGGTGCAAAGTAGAGCTAAACTTTAAAATTTATCTGATAATTGCAAGGATCAATCTAAGCAGAAGCCCTCTTGAATGTCACAAAGCGTGAAAATCAGAAACTAAATCTGCTCTGCTGAGCCTTGCAGTTATATTGCATGATGTAGTATCCCAGCTTATTCTTGATTCCTGCTTATGTAATTCAACTTGCTTCACATTTTTGTTTGACATGTGATAAATTGTGTTTTGGTCAATGTTTTTACCATTTGTTTTCCTCCCCAGTTTCCCTATTTGCGAACTCACTTTTTAGAAAGTCAAGACTCCATTGTCATGTCACATGCTGGCACTTATATAACTGAAATAGTAAAAAGGCTTTGAGAGGATGTTACATGTCAGTGGATCTGGTAATTCTTGAAAATGCATAATTTACATGACTTTCTCTTGTAAACTTAATGTTTTGGGTTATTTTTTTTAATTCCAAAATGTAGAAGGGTTGGGACATAAATCCAGATCTCAGAAACCTACAGAAATTCAGGTTCAGTTCTGGGGCAACATAAAACATCCCAGTACAAAACTTCTATGTTTGTAGCCAGTGCAACTGGTCAGGGAAATGTTTTGGTGGTTTTTTTTCGTGTCCCCTCTATGAAAAATGTTGATGATTTAAAAAAAAAAATTCATCCAACTTTTTTTGAGGGGGTTGCTGAAAAAACAAAGCTTTTCCAGTTTTCAGCTAAGAAATTTTTATGGCCAAAAAAAAAAATAAAATCTCATTTTTGTTTTTGTTTGTGTTTGATGAAAGGTAAAAAAGTCTCCTTTTAACATCTGATTCTCATCCTGGT